AGTAGCACAAAATGTGCATTTCATTTCAAAATGTGGGTCTACACAGCGCCAAATTTCAAAATATGATTTTTAATAACTAAATCCCATCTCATACTATCATTTTTGTCTTCATTCTCACTCATCTGGAATCTTTCTCTGTCTCCAAGCATGGTTCTGTACTACCAGCCTAGACATTTCCTCAATTCTGCTTACCTAACTAGCAACTGTCTCTCTACTTTTTGCCCTTTGTCTCTACGTTTCTTGAGTGCTACTTGCCTCCACTGAGTTACACCAGAACTGAATTTGGCCCTACTGGTCACATTTCATGTAGCAGCACTGTTCCTAATAAGGATGACTTCCAGAACATGGCTAGCTAGAGTGTGGGTCAGTCCTTCTTTTGTAGTAGGAATGGTTTTCATTTTTTTTTAAGACGTCTCCAAACAGCCAGGACTTCCTGGGAAATCGCTAGTACTGTATTCAAGTGGCAGCACTGATCAAGTATGGAAACTAAAAATCAGAAACATCAAAGCAAAATGTAATATTAACTGAAGGAAGAAAGTGAGCCCTTGCAGCATTGATTAAATACTCTTCCATCTGAAAGGTCTGTGTGGCTTGTTTGCTTTTTTAACCCATGTTTTAATATTACCAACTCCTGAACAAAGGCAAACAATAACCATTGTTATGCTTAGAAGTACAGTTTCTATTTTATTCTTTTAATAGAATAGAATAGTTATGTGGCATAACTCTGCTGTTATTCTTTCACAGTCTAATAAAAGCACTTCAAAATACCAGCTCTAATTATTAACATTTTAAAGACAGAATAATGAAACACCTAGACCCTTATGTCATCTGTATGACAGAATTGGTCACAGAGACCCGCTTAGGAATGTCACTTGATGTGCTCGAATACCATTCTGCCTACCTTCCTGCCCTCCTGAGCACTCCTCAACTCTATCCTGCTAAACCAGCAGCACTGAGACAGAAATAGGGTGACATCCCTCTGCAGTGTAACACAGAAACTGAGCTCAACTTAGGTCTGGCAAGGCTCAGCTAAAGGGATTCACCTCATCACCCAAATTCATAGCCTCAAAGGCACCTGAATGCCAGATGAATCCATTTTATTCTGTATCAAGTTTTATACATGGTAAGCTCATGTTTGTCCTCTTTCTCGGGCAAAGGGAGATATGCAGAGAATCCTTGCCTACCTCCGCCACCCATCAGTACAATTACTTACTTACAATTGGGTTTATTAATAAACAAAAGTGATTTTTATTAAGTATAAAAGGTTGGATTTAAGTGGTCATAAGAGATAGCAGACAGAACTCCATATGGAACAGAGAAGAAGTTGGCATAGGGAGAGAGCACCTATATACGGTTCACAGAGATCCTTGTAGTTAATCAATCATGTTTTTAAAAATACCAATGTATGCAGGGCTCGACAAATCAATGAACCTACTCGCAATTTCAGCCGGTCGCCCTGTTCACCAGCGGCGCGTGCATGCGCAATGTGGGTCTTGCGCATGCGCAGAGAGGGGCTGGCGAGTAGGTTTTGCTGCCATTTGTCAAGCCCTGAATATATGTATCCAGTCCAAAATCCCAATACACCCATGTACAAATTCAATTAGATTAAAAAATCTACACCTAGATAGGGATCCAAATTTTGCAGGTGACCCCTCTCTTTTTAAATGGACAAAACTCAAAAGCTCAGAACTGACTCTCTCTGAAACTTAGGGGTTTAAAATTCAGATAAAATTTTGCAACATTGGGCTCATCTCAGAATATATATTTTAAATATATAGTTTGCAGCATTTATTTAGACTTAAACTCTCTGTAGGTATATATCCTATGCTCGGGATAACCTTTGTATAAATTAAAATACACTATAAAAATGATACAAGGACTGCTTATTCCTCCTTGATTCCACTTGCAAATATAAATCACAATAAAATAAACCCAAAGCCCTCCCCTACGCTTGAAGCACACACAGAGTTTAAGAAATTGAATTTTGGCAGACTAAGGCTGAAGAAAAGCACATTCCGATGTTCCAGGCCCTTCGTGAAAAATATATTTGCAGCAGCTCCCTCTCCTTTGTATCAAAGATTCAACTCCTCAATTAGAGGAGGAGGAGGAGGAAAAGCAGTGGTACTCTTTCTGGCTCCAAACACAAATGAAACTCTACCCACTTGAGACACCAAAACAAGACACCACATCTAGGATATAATATTCCAAAGAGGGTTATGAAAGTTCTACTGGGCTACACTCAAGCTTTAAGTTGTGCAGAGGCTCTGCAGATATTCTGCTGGTGGTAGTCACTGAGGAGACTGGCAGCTATGGCCACACACTCTCCATCCAGTTCTGGGTCATGTTGGTTCCTTATCGCATAAATAAATTTGTAAATGCTTAGCACTGCCAAAGCCTACACCCAACTTAGACATTCAGTTACTGATAACCAAAAATATGGTTTACCCAGGCAAAGACTTCACTTCCCCTTAAACGTAGTCAGATTTGGCCCCATTTTGTCAATACAGGTAGTCCCCGGGTTATGTCAATCCGACTTAAGTCGGACCCCTAGTTACGAACGGGGGGGGGGGCGCAGCTAGTGCGGGGCGCCACAGGCAGTCCCCGAGTTACACGGATCCGACTTATGTCGGATCCGCAGTTACAAACAGGGCTTTTCTCGCCCCGGAGGACGCAGGCGGCGGGACAGCCCAGACATGCCGCGGTCCCGCCGCCCGCGTCCTCCGCGGCGAGAAAAGCTGCTCCGCGTCTCCCTGGTCTGCTGGGGGAGGCGCAGCTAGTGCACTCCCCTCCCCCCAGCAGACCAGGCTTTTCTCACAGGTGGTCAGTTTCAGCAACACCTGAATCAGGACGCCTGGGGTAGTGCAGCTGGGGAGCTGCCGGGTTGGTCCCACAGCGCCGAGGTGCGGCGCTACTGGACCAACCCAGCAGCGCCCCAGCTGCTCTGTCCCAGGTGTCCCCGATTCAGCCGCTGTTGAAACTGATCAGCGGCTGATTCCAGGAAGCCCGGGGCAGAGCAGCTCTGCCTCTGGCTTCCTGTAGTCAGTGCTGGTCAGTTTCAGCAGCGGCTGAATCGAGGACACCTGGGGTACAATATGTACCAGTTCCGATTTACATACAAATTCAACTTAAGAACAAACCTACAGTCCCTATCTTGTATGTAACCCGGGGACTGCCTGTATCACAATAAATCTTGAACAAATCTCTTCAAGTTCATAACAATTCTGAATGTTCTGATTAAATGAAAAATCAGGCTATTTCAGGCATTCTAAATGGTTTTGGGACCCCAGGATATCAAATGAAAAAGTGGGACTATCCTATTAAAATGATCAAGTTAATATACCACTCTTGGTACTTAGTATTGCCTCTCCCCGTTCACTGCCTTACGCCGGTATTCAAAACCCCCACACAAAAATGAGCTTTGTAAAAAAAACCAGAAATATAGAATTCATGCTGTACTCCCTTATACCATTCCTTAGAATCATGAACTCTATGATTTCATGATTACTTTCACCCAACCTGCCTTCCACTTTCAAATTTTCAACCGGTTCTTCCCTATTTGTCAAAATCAAATCAAGAACAGCTTCCTCCCTTGTAGGTTTTTCAGCCTTCTGAAATAAAAAATTGTCTTCAATTCAGTCCAAGAACTTATTGGATAGTCTGTGCCCCGCTGTTAGTTTCCCAACATATGTCTGAATAGTTAAGCCCCCATCCCCACTAAATCCTGTGCTTTGAATGATAGTTGTTTAGAAAAAGCCTCATCCACCTCTTCTACCTGGGTAGGTGGTTTGTAGTAGACCCTTAGCATGACATCACCCTTGTTTTTTATCCCTTTTAATCCAACCCAGAGTCTCTCAACACATCTGTATCTGATGTCCAGCTCCACCTCAGTTCAAGTGTGTACATTTTTAATATACATGGCAACACCTCCTATTTACCTTGCCTATCCATCCTGAGTAAGCTGTATGCTTCTATACAGTATTCCAATCATGTGTATTATCCCACCACATCTCTTTGATACCAACTGTGTCACAGTTGTGTTTATTTATTAGGACTTCTCCTACATAGACCATAAAATGAGTACATCTGTCAGTTCCCCAATTTTAGTTAGGATGCTTTTTAAAATTCATTTATTATTGCTACTTTGTTAATAATTAATTGTGAGGACAATGTAATGTGTTAGGCTAATCTCTTCCTACAAATGAAAATAGCCAAGTTAGAACCAATTTGGTTCTACTAAGTTTATATTCACATAAAAAAAAACAAAAAAAACCTCAGCTAATATATATTTAACATAAGATGACAAATTCTCATACTTTTTTTGATCTAACAGATTTTTTTTCAAAAGAATGTTCAAATAACTAAGATTGTGATACAAGCGACAATAGCACACAAAGTTCGTGTTGACATACCATTTGCAACCAACGCCTTTCTGCATTTGTGTCAACTTGACTTTTGTTGGTTTAAGTCTTGAGTCACTTAATTTTGTTTATGTAAAATACAGTAATTAAGTAATTTTCATGCTGGTTGATATATGTAAACTACTTGATGCTGCTTGAAACAAAGTCTCTGCAGAGGCAATATGCAATCAATATCACAGAAATTCTATTCCAAAGATTTCTGGCAACAGTTGGGCACGGTGAGCTGTTTTCCAGGACCCATTCAAAACCTAAAGAATAAGTTTTGGATGATGACTGTCAGGATACTTTACAGCTCCTACCCACCTAAAGGGGAGGGGGGGGAGAGGAGAGTCCAAAAGAAACAAATACTAATGAGCCAACAAGTATCATATAAAGATGGCTCTGCTAGTACACTTCCACCTTTCCTCTCCCTGGGAACTCTCATCTCCCAGCTCTCCCTTGCTACACCAACCAGTGCTACTGTACTTTAAAGTAGTACAACAGGTTGTAACATGCCACGCACTGGATCACCCTGCTGAAGGGTGACCATGCAACCAGTGGAGGGACTAAAGCAGGTTTCCTGTCTGCCCTGCTACAACGGACCACACTGCACACCAGACGCAAACAACATCAGATCTAGCTCCTAGATGGAGGGCCACAAGGCACTGCCCTGCCCAGCTGTGGGGACTGATGCCCGAAGCAGAGAGAAGCATGCAAGGCCATTTGTGCACCTCCACCTAGGAACTGAGCACAACACCGTGCATAATGCCAGGACAGGCAGGAAGCACCGCTGCTGTGCCACTGAACAGGTGACTGCAGAGGTAAGCCCTGCAGAGGTAAGCTCCTGAAACTTATCTCTGGACCCACACCAAAGCCTGCACTCCAGAGTCCACACTTCCCAGCATCCCATCCTCCTGTCCCAGCCCTAAGCCCCCTCCCACGCCCTGAACCTCTTTTCCCTACCCCTCAGCTTGAAACCCTCATCCCCAGCCCCATGCCAGAGCGTGCATGCTAGTCAAAAGATATAATTAAGTCACAGGCAACAACTATTTCCTTCAACTGGGTCGTGAGGAAAAAAAAAAGGTCCGAGTCTGTACTGTACACCAGGTTCTCAACCAGAAGCCCGTGGCCACTCAGTGGGCCAGAACCATATCAGCGGCTCCACAAGGCTGCAGCTACAGAACAGAACTCCAGCATCCTCCAACAGGCCCAAAGCCAGGATCCATGGGGCTGCAGCCCCATGCCCCAGTGCACCGCACGATTGGTCAATAGGCGAAGGCGCTCTGTCCCAGCTCATGATACCCCCGCTGCAGCTCTGCAGTTTAAATATAGTAGGTGTTAGATGTGCAGGCAGCCTGGCTCCTACTACATTTAAACTGCACAGGTGCAGCGGGGGCTGGTGCAAGCCAGGACAGAGGCAGGACTGCTGCGGCTCTGCATTTTAAATGGTAGTAAGAGCCGCGTGGCTCTCACTATATTTAAATGCAGAGCTGCAACGTTCCTGGACCAGCGCCCAGGCAGTCCTGGCCAGGGGCTGCTTGGCAGCAGCCTCCACTAACCCCTGCCTCTGACTGAGACAGCAGCATTGGGGGGCAGCACCGTGGAGACGGATTTTAAGCCAGCTTCCCCCAGCACCAGCTCCTGATTCCTCCCTGGCCCCCACTGCCTCTGATACCAAGGCAGTAAGGGGAGGGGGAAGCGAGCAGTCAACTCGACTACCCAATAAGCTTATCAGGTAGTTGGCTACTTGCTTACATCCCTACATGGCACCTAGTGGGATCTAGACCTAAACACTTGGTGCAGACTCCACCAATGTAAAATGCAGGACAATGTAGCACTTAAAAGACTAACAAGATGGTTTATTAGATGATGAGCTTTCGTGGGCCAGACCCACTTCCTCAGATCAAATAGTACCCCAGACTAACACGGCTACATTTCTATCACTATTCTCCAGCAATGTAGACTCTCTGTTAGGGCACCTCTACACAGCAGGGCAAAAGTCAAATCAAGCTACGCAATTTCAGCTAAGTTAACTGCGTAGCTGAAATCGAAATGGCTGAATTCGGCTTTTGGCACTGTCAACACTCTTCCTTCGACTTCCCTTACTTCTTGTAAAATGAGGGTTACCACGAGTCGGAGTAAGAAGTCCTCCAGTACAACATTATTTCGAAATAAAGGCTTATAGTGTAGACACACACTATGTTGTTTCGGAATAATGTTAGTTATTCCAAACGAACGCTGCTGTGTAGATGTACCCTTAGGGAACAGTCCTGCAACCCCAGATGTAGCAGCCTAGATAGAGATCAAGCTTTTCACTGGATTATTCATGTCCATGCCACCCAGACAAGCTGGGTTTAACTTGCCTGATGTGGTTGTGCTCTCGCAGAGCTCAGACAGGAACAAGCAGTGTGCAGAGATCTGGACAAAGCCATGCCTGTTAGTCCCCCAATAGCTTGATCCATCAGTCCCAAACCAAGCTCTAAACTTGCATGTGTTCTTGCTTGCGCTCTGGATTGAGGATAACCAGAGGGACTCAGCCTCCAGCTCTCCTTTCACTCCACCCTGAACCAGCTTCACCACTAATTACTCCTTAGGAAAGCAGGGAAAGAACTAAATAAACCCTTCAAATGAAAGAAAACCTGCCACAGCTGCTGCCTTATTACCAGAGTCCTTACACATAATTCCCCCAACCCCAAATTACCTGTTTAGGACAAAGCTACAGCCAAGTGCGCTGCATTGACAGTCAAATGCCACCACCACCACCACCACCACCCCACCCCCTACAAGCCCTCAGCATCCTCCCTGAGCCACCTCTCCCACCTAGTCCTACTCTCAGCCTCTCGCCCCACACCCCTTACCATCCTCTTGGCTCCTGTCGCCACCATCTCTCCATCCCCTCAACATCCTCCCTGGGCTGTCCCAGCCCTGCTCTCAGCCCTCCCCATCATATGCCCTGGGCCACACCTGCACCCCAGTCCTACTTTTACCTTCCTGTCTTCCTCCCCTCCCCCCAGCATCTGTTCTGGGCCACCTGTGCTGCAGGTCTACTCTCAGCTCCTCCTCCCCTCCCCCACCATCTCTTAGCACTGTCCCTGGATATCCTCCTCGCCCCCCCCCCCTCCAGCCCCATCTCTGCTTTCAGCCTTCTCTCCTTCCGGGCTGCATCCACCCCAGCCTTGCTCTCACCTACTCCCCTATCCCCTGAGCTTCCTCCTGGGATATTTTCCCCAGTCCTCTGCACTTTCCTATCCTCAAGCAGCTTCCCTCTTTCCATTCTGTCCATCCTGGTACTCTTCCCTTCTTTCCCAGATCTGCTCCTTAACCCTAACCTGCCTCTTCTAAAGCATCCTCTCCCCATTTCTACTTTTCTTTGGCCCTGTTTTACCCTATTCTGCCCTCTTACTTTCCCTCACCCTCATCTCCTTCTTTCTTCTCCGTCAATGTCACACACTTATCCTCTGTTCTCTTCCTGCCCTCTTGTGCCATGTTTATACAGGTGTTTAAATGAGCATTTTGGTATTTTATTATCTCACCCTAGAATAAGATGCTAAAGGAGGTATCTTTGTTCCCAGGCTGTTTCACACAACCTGTATGCCTGGACAGACAATATACACTCCTGCATGCATAGGCACACAACAGGCTGAATGACTCTGAAGGCACCCTAGATCAGTTTCACTCAAATTACTTGAAGTGGTTTTTAGGGTCATATTGATTTTTAATAAGTTTCAACTGTCTAATGAAGCACGGTGTACAATCTTTGGGTATGTCTACACTTGCACCCTAGTTCGAACTAGGGATGCAAATGTAGGCAACTGAAATTGCTAATGAAGTGGGGATGTAAATATCCTGCACTTCATTAGCTTGATCTCGCCAGCGTGTTACTCCACTGAATAGGTGTTTCGAAAGTGAAAGTGCACGTTTCGTTAGTTCGAACCAAACCCTTTGAGGAGTAACATTAGTTCGAACTACGGGATTTGGTTCCAACTAACACATCCCAGCGCGCACTTTCACTTTCGAAACACCTATTCAGTGGAGTAACACGCTGGCGAGATCAAGCTAATGAAGTGCAGGATATTTACATCCCCACTTCATTAGCAATTTCGGTCACCTACATTTGCAACCCTAGTTCAAACTAGGGTGCAATTGTAGAAGTACCCTTTCATCCGAGGAGTGAAATATTAAAATAACGGATTTCAACCTACTTGCTTTCACATGCAGAAATATCTCATCTTCCTATACCTGAGTGAGTGAGACTAAAGAAAATAAATATTGGGCAGGAAAAACAAATATTGGGCGGGAAAAACAATCAGCATACAAATGTATTCCTCAACAGTAAACATGTCTAGATTTTCATATCCTTCATTAGGAGCTTATCCCATGAGTAAATCTTTGAAGAAGTACCCCATACCAGAAACGGAATGATAAAGTTAATGTCCACTAACATTTAAGTTACGTAGAAATATCAAAAGATGTTGATTAGTTGATAAGTTACTAAGAAATATTAACAGCATCTACAGAAGGCACCCCACGTTAATAACTGGAAAAATTAATGTAATAGTGAAACCTTTACTAAATGAATTTTCCCCCTCTTTACAGGTTGTAACTTTGTGAGGCAGTTATATGACGACTGAATTATGACAACCAAAATCTCCAAGAAAACCCCTTAAACTAAACATCTATTTATCTTTTGACCATCTTGGAACTTAGTGGATACACTCCTTGAAGTTTGTCTGAATTGTAACTTGTATAACATTTTAAAAGTTTCACAATGGAGTTCTTATTATCCAAAGGAGACTGCAGTAGAGATTTGAAAAGAGCTTTGTTATTATTTTTAATTTTATCATATCTTATAGCTCTTGTTTGCACGGATAAGGACTATTATAGTTTACTTGGAATATCCAAAGAAGCAAGTAATAGAGAAATAAGACAGGCTTTCAAAAAACTGGCATTAAAGTTACATCCTGATAAAAATCAGGTAAGTAAAATTTTTGAGTTCCAGCTATAAAATTAGCACTGTGAGTTAATTGGTCCAGTGTTAAATTTAAAATAGGCTTTTATATGCATTTAAATGAATTTGAAACTTTGCACTCTCCTGCAAAGAAAATAAAAACTAAAACAGAGTTGATATATTATTAAATTATGGCAAATTTGAACAGAAGTCATACTAAGCCATTGCAGCTGAAAGGCATAATAGTTTATTCCTACTTCAAAGTAGGAATAAGATCCTCCGGAAAAGGGCGCTTTTTCCGGAGGATCGGGGCCAGTGTAGACGCTCTTTTCCGGCTTTTCTAAAAGCCGGAAAAAAGCGGCGGACATTTTTATTTAAATGCCGCGGGGGATATTTAAATCCCCCGCGGATTTCCCTATTGCGATCGCTGAAATTAACATGCCCCTTCCGGAAAAGGGGCCAGTGTAGACGTAGCCTAGGAGTCTTAGAGTAGAACAATACAAAGGCTCTGTTCCTGTGACTTATTCCATGCATATTGAACCCAGTTCTCTGAGCCCCAGCAGTATTAGAAAGCATATGGGCACAAAAATCTAGGGTCTAGGGAACAAATGTGTATTTGAGTATATACTAACATTTCAGTGTGAAAGAGAAGAGTGAGTGAACATGGATTAATTGTTGAGTATGTTGAAGTATATAGCCTCTAATTAGGAAAACTGTTGGTTTTTATTATGCTTTCTCCCCCCCAATAAAGATATGCTATCTCAAAGAGCAATTCAGTGATAACTGATATGTTACTTTAAATAGTCTCTAAGACGACCCTGTTGATTCTTGTAATCAGTACTATTGGTTTCCTGTACTGTTAATAGTAGTTGTATAGGTGCTCCAAGAGGAAAATAGTTTGTAAACGTTTTAGTGTTACTGTACATTAATACAGTAATTTAAGAGTTAATATAATACTGGTGAGCTAGATCTGAGTCAGTGCAGGACCAAGTGATGAAATGTAAAGGTGGTTGTAAGCCACCTTTCCACTACCCTCAATCTGGAGCTGACTAGAAGCCAAAATAGTCCTTGGTGTACAGGCAGTCCCCGGGTTACGTACAAGATAGGGACTGTAGGTTTGTTCTTAAGTTGAATCTGTATGTAAGTCGGAACTGGCGTCCAGATTTAGCCGCTGCTGAAACTGACCGCCAGTTCTGACTTACATACAGAATCAACTTAAGAACCCCAGGCGTCCCCAAGTCAGCTGCTGCTGAAA